AGCCAAGCAGCCTTTTGCTAGGCAGGCTGTTGGTCACAACAATGAGCAAAGAAGCTAGTGTAAATGTACACTAAAAAGAAGGGATGATAGAGATAGATCCCAAGCAGACAACTTCCAAACCACAAGGGGAAAGTAGGGGATAAGTGTGATTTTATCAAAATGAGGAAAGACAAGTAAAGGAAAAATGGAGCCAATAAACAACAAAATAACAGGCTAATACTTTCTAGTGTGTTTTGTGAAAATGCAAAAGTTAACTTTTGATGAGTTAATTGTATTGTAGATTCTCTTTACTAATTTTCTTGCGAATGTCATAAAACTATTGATGGTAACATAACCATTTTCTACCAAACTTACTCAAGTTTGTTACTCTGGCCTTGTTCATTGTTGAAGAGCACCTTTGTCAACTTCAAAGGTGTGTGTGTTTCTTTTTTCTTCAGTTTAATACAAATTTAAACCAAGTTGCTGAGTGCTGTGCTTATACTTTTAGACCAGTAAACATTGTATTGGATAGGATTTAATATTACATACTCAAATGAGGTTTGACCAGGATTTTTTCCAGGGCAATCTTTAAATCTCTTTTACAAAACCAGCACATCCCTAAGGACTATGACTGTCGACCTATTAAACCACCTGACACTTGATGATATTGTCACTTAAGGAATTTAGGGCAGCCAGTTCAGTTGCTGACTAGGTGGAAAGAATATTCGAGTCAGTCCACCAGAGAGACACACGGCCCACAGGACTGGCCACCCCTTTCCTAGCTGCAGTAACCTGGATATTTTGTCAGAGAAGGGAATTTAGCTAATCCTGGTGTTATGGATCTGTTACTTTGAAAACATGGCCAGATGTGCTGGGGAAGCCACTGCTTTTTTTTGGCTTTTTTGAGAACAGGTCCCTCCATGTATCCCTGGCTGTCCTGGAACTCAATATGTAGATCAGGGATCCTCTGCCTTCTGAGTGCTGGGATTAAATCCTGCATGGCCAAAAAAAAAAAAAAAAAAAAAAAAAAAACCCCACAAAAAAAATACATACATACATACATACCTACGTGAATCCCTGGGAGTTATGGATGACTGTGAGCCACCGTGTGTGTGTGTGTATACTGAACTGAACCCATGTCCTTTGTCAGAGCCTCAAGTATTCTTCACTGCTGAGCCGATTCCCCAGCCCCATTTGGGACACATCCGCACACTGTTCCTTGTGTACGTTCAACCTGTTCTGGGCACCACACCTGATTTTTGACAAAGAAGCAAAAAATGTAAAACGGAAAAAAGAAAGCATGTTTAACCTGTTTATTTACATTTTTTACAGATACTTGACTGGCTTGAAACTGCAGTTTATTGAGGCTTTTTTTTTTTTTTTTTTTTTTTTTTTTTTTTTTTTTTTTTTTTTTTTTTTTTTTTTTTTTTTTTTTTTTTTTGTAGCTGGGCTGTCAGCTGGGCTGCCTGGCGGGGTACAAGCCGTGTTTTCTCTCTGCTGCTTAGTTGTCCTGTCTGGGTACTAGGGACCAGAAGGTGCCCGTCCCTCATTGCCTGATGTGTTTGGGCACAGGCCATGTTTTTTACGTTTAACAGTCCCATTAGAGGCCAGTGTTAGAGGAGGCCGAATAATTTACAGGCTCTCAGGTGTCACCTTTGTAGCGGCTCTGAGACTGAATTGTGAGACTACACGCTCAGGTGGGTATAGCCATTTGATTTTTTATTAATATTTTATTTTTTTTAAATCTTGTAATTATAAAATTAGAATTTTTGAATCCTCTCCTCTGTTAAAAGCTATAGATTTATCCATATAGGTGTTTTGACTTGTGGGTCAAATAGCCTCTATGCGTTTCCATTGCCCGGCTCTGGATGCTGACTGAGGGAGGTAGAACCCTTTAAACATTTTTGTTTTTTTGCATTTTCTGGCATGGGCCAGACTCAGCTGGCTACAGCGTGTGCGCGTGGACTGCCACGATCTCAGCGGTAACCTAGGCCATTGCTAAGACAAACGTATGTTTTTACTCTTTTCATCTGTTCAGCAGCAACAGAGGCTGCGGCTCAGTGACCAAATCACCGCCGCTTGCAGGAGAAGGCAAGGCTGCACTTTGGTCTCCTTGAGACCTGGAGCAGCCCCACCAACCAGGGGTCAAGAATTTAATATTTACAAGCTCTAAATATCTGTTTTTGTTTTTGCTTCATTTTAGCTCCTCTATTAAAATACATTTAAGCAACTATACCAATAATTGAATATCATTTTCTTGTTCCATATTTACAACTATTTACAGTTTTACTTTTGATTTTTTTCACCATTTTCTTTTTTTATTACATACCATTTATTTTTTAAAAATATTTATTTATTATGTATACAATATTCTGTCTGTATGCCTGAAGGCCAGAAGAGGGCGCCAGACCTCTTTACAGATGGTTGTGAGCCACCACGTGGTTGCTGGGAATTGAACTCAGGACCTTTGGAAGAGCAGGCAATGCTCTTAACCACTGAGCCATCTCTCCAGCCCCTCTACCATTTATTTCTGAGTGCTTATTATTCGCCTCTCTGCCTGTGGTACAATTCCTCATGTACTCTCTTGTACAACTGGCCACGCTTCTATTTTGGGGTTTACCGGTCAGCCCTACATTGGGTGCTATATGTCAAGTTCTAGCCTCGACAAAAATACTTCTTACCAGGGTAGGGGTGTGGGAATTGAATATAAGTAAAGAATATGAAGATGCATAAAAAAATAACAGGAAAGAAACCATAGAAAGTATTGGGAGGGTATTCCAGTATTTCTATGAAATACATAGAAAGTAATTTTTTTTTCATAGAAAGTATTGAGAGGGTATTCCAGTGACTGAAATTCTGAAATTTTTTTCCACAGCTTTTATACCCAATATAAATGGGGTAGAAGGTAACAAAAGACTTTATTAACATGACACAAAAGGGACTCACACAGTCAATGGTTTTATCACTTTGAGACATCAAATCATTAGATTTTGTTCAGCAAAGGTGCTGAAGACTGGTCCTCCCCGGGTGACCTCATAGTTACAGCAGAAGGAGCAGAAGTACATCGGCGTACCCTGACCACCTGTCAGGATGGCATTGAGCTCTCTTAATGTCAAAAGGACTCAGCAGTCACCTCCTGAGTTAGGATGGGCAACTATACCTGTCAGTCTCCAAACTCTCTGACCATCAGACGAGGTGGAAATGAGCCTGCAGTTTTTTGGCCTCCACACGGTATGTTTTCAGATAAATCGAGAAATTCATAGAATCAATCGTCGTAGGGATTAAAATCTTAAGAATAACAAATCTGGAGATTAATTGTGAATAAAGATTGGTCTGAAGTGGCATATCTACGAAGAGCCTCCTAAAAGGAGGAATCACATTTTACTTAGAGCCCTTTCTTCAAGGCAGTGTAAAAATAGCTTAATCTCCAGAGATTTAAAAATTAATCGTTGTGAAATCTTCATGAGATGCTCATAGGTTAAATGTTGGGAAACATTTGTGAAGAGGTAAAATTTAACAGAAACAAGAGCACCCAACTCAGTGCTGCTTCAGCTTGAACGTGCATAGAAACACTATGTGTGTTTGTGTGTGCGTGCACACGTGTGTGTGTGTGCACATGTGTGTGTGTGTGTGTGTGTGTGTGTGTGTGTGTGTGTGAAGGGGTGATAAAATGCTGCCTTCCATTCTGTAGGAAAGTTTTTGGTTTTAACAGCTCCAAGGAGATACCAGCGCTGCCACTGTGGGGGTCAGATGTATCTTTGATGTTTCACGACTTTCCCGGGAAGATGGACAGTGGGTAATGTGCATTTTGGAATCCTGAGACTCAGGTTTGGGGACCACGGGCATGGAATTGATAGCTCAAGTTCTGCAACTAGATGAGATGGCCCTTCATTAATTATTTATTAGGAACTAACAAGGTGTGTAGGGAGCAAGTGTCAGACACAGCCTTCCTCCTTGGGCATGGATTATACTGTCATGCTTGGGCTCTTATGATGTTTAATTCTAAAACTCTATTTTTAATGAGAGCATTAAGCCTACTGATTTATCAAATATATATTTTTCAGCAAGGAAGTATTCCTATTAAAAAAGCTATCAAGTTGCTGAAATATTAATGGTAGGACGATATCATTTAACTGAAGAGAATGTTTTCATTGAATCCTGGGTTATGATACCCAGAATTATGTTCTGTATTTTAATGGGGATGTTAAGAAACTAAGATCCTGAGTAATAAATTGTGAAATGGTTCAATTCACAGCTGCTCTTAATTAAGAAAGATCTTACATTTAGGGATTTGTAGAAGAATGCCAATGCTTAGGTATGCTTAGTGATTGGTTAGCTAACTATTACAGGTGCTTAGACATGGCTCTACCTGAAACTAAAAAAAAAAAAATAAATAAATTTCACTGTGATCTGACTTTGGACCAGAGACTTCTGCATTATGTTTGCTGTACAGTGCTTTTCTCATTTAAAGAGGGCATTCCAGTTACATTTATTTATTGAGTGCCGTGCACACTCCTCACACACTCATGGAAATGAGTGATGATTGGTCCATTTGGCATCTACAGTCCAACAGTCCAGCTTGGTTTCAGGGAGCTATTGTTTTATTGTTGCAGGCTTTTTGGCAAGACAGAATTGCTGTGCTTACTCAGCTTGTATAGCGACAGCTACACCTGCTTCTCCCTCGGCACCTTTTGAATCTAAGTCTGTATCATTAGGTGTCTGTAACACGGAAGAGTCTTCCTGAGTCTGCTGAAGGAAACTGACTACTGGATTGGAAAACCTCCATCTCCTGCAAGCCCTTCCACAAAACTATCAATAGCTTTGTGGAGGGCCTCCGTCCCTCCCTCCGTCCCTCCGTCCCTCTCTTCCTCCTTCCTCTTTCCTTCCTTCCTCCCTCCCTCCCTCCCTCCCTCCCTCCCTCCCTCCCCCCCCCCCCCTTCCTTTCTTCTTGACAGGGTCTCATTATGTAGTCTTGGCTGTCCTAGAACTCACCTTGTGGCCTTAGACTCATAAAGATTCTGCCTCCCTAGTGCCGGGACTAAATGAATGTGCCACCTTGCCCCGGTTGATGCATTTCTTATGGATAAATTATTAAAGTGATGACTGCCAATCGGGCATGTGTTAGAATATGCAAAGCCAACTTTTGTTAGGAAGGTAATCACAAAATAGATTTGATAATGATGTAGCTAACATTGTAGGCTATGTTCTGATCTATCCCTATACTAAAACCTGTTAATAATTTCCTATCCAGAGTAAAATATCCAAATGCTCAACCCAGGAGACTAGACCTGTCAGCGACCGTTTTCACATCCTCTCATTTGCTGCTCTGCTGAACTAAGCAGCCAGTGTCGGTCTCTTCCTTAAGCAAAGGTGTGTGACCCAGTTTTCTCTTCTACCAAGTCTGAAGACTGGCCTGCTGATCTATGAAATAGTTTGGTATTATACAAAAGTTTCCATCTAAGGATAATTAATGGCGGTCAATGAGCAGCTATATTCTAGAAAGGATGGATAGGAACATTCAAAGGCCCCAGGCATCCCGTGATGAGAGGAAAGAGGGTAGACAGACAGAGGAGCAGCGCCCTCTAGAAGCAGTGACTTGGTGCTGGGACATCGAGGTGAAGGCTAGCCAGTGGCTGCTGCTGCAACGTGGTTCCCGGATTGTGCTGAAGCTGGAGCATGGCCGTGAGTTCCTTTGACCATTGCTTTTAAATGAGTTCAGCTGTTGAAATAGCTATGCATTCTTTGAGACAAATTAAACTTACCTGTGGAACAAAGGTCCTGGTGACTAATGATTTCCCCTTTGACCTGACCTGACTGCGTTGGAATAAATAGGTATCCAATATTTCCCAACCAACCCACAAATAAAATCTGTGGCATATTGGGTCAGAGTTCCAGGAGATGCCTTCTAATACTTTTCTTTCCTATTTCTCTCTGTTTTTTTTTTTTTTTTTTTTTTTTTTTTTTCTGAGGCAGGGTTTTTCTGTGCAACAGCTCTGGCTGTCCTGGAACTTACTTTGTTAATTAGGCTGGCCTCCAACTCACAAAGAGCCTGCTGAGTCCTGGGATTAAAGGCGTGTGCCACCACCACCTGGCATCTGTTTTCTTAGAAAAGATAAATTTCACCCAGTTGAGGTGTCTTATTTAACAATATCCAGCAGAATTAATATTTACGACTTTCTAAGTAGACGAAGACTTTAAAAACGCTACAGTTCCTTTATTTATTTGTGTGCACCGCTCTGAGTGGAGGTCAGAGGACAACATGCAGATGTCTTTCCTTCTACCATTCGCTTCCAGGACTGAGCTCAGGTCATCGCACCTTTACCTGTGGAGTCATCTCATCTTCTAGCAACAGTAAGTCTTCATCAGTAATGGGAAATACACGCGATTCAACACAGACATTTGTAACTAGCACACTGAATAAACAAGGGCTGAATAATCACGGAAGGTGGATTTTTTATTTTATTTTTTGGAGACAGAACCTCACTATGTAGCCACGGCTGACCTGGAACTCACTGTACACTAAACTTGAGTTGAATTCAAAGAAATTTGCCTGCTTCTGCCTCCCTGGTGCTAGGATTAAAGGCATGTGATTGACCGCACCTGGCCCTGACAGGTGTGTGTGTGTGTGTATGTATGTGTGTGTGGTGTGGGAGCTTGAATCCAGGTCCTTATGCATGCTGAGCACAGAGTACTGCTAAACTGTACTACCAGGCCCTATCAAAAACACCTACTGTATTTTTGTCTCCAGCTGTCCCTTTAATCTTCTTTAGTGTTCAGCCACTCAGTGAACACTATCAGCCTGATGATTTTGGCATCACATAAAAGCCTCTCTATTACAGATAGCTCCACTTAACAATGGCCTCGTTTTGCCCCATGCTGGGCTAAGAAATCATTTTATCTATGTTTCCCTGTGATGGTTTAGCTCAGCTCATGTGGAATCTACTGTGTTTTCTCAACATTAGGCCAAGCCCTTTGCTGCATATTTATGCACCAGAGGAGTATAGATGATACACAGGCAGTCCTCATCCTGATTCCAAGGATGGTTCTTAACCACTGTCTTGGGAATGGCTCTGTTCTATCTACTCTTCATTTAGTCCCTGGAGATGTCCATTGTGATTCATCCACTCAACTCTTGTCCCATAACGATTTCTCTAGTACATAGAAATTCTTTTTAAAAAATTCTTTTTTTTTTATGGTGAAAAAGTGTATATTTAGAATTAGCCGGCTGGGCTCAGTTTAGATGATTCCGATCTTATTGGCAACATCCAGAGCATCATAATCAGGAGCCAACCGAACATAGGCCTTCTTCTCCGTCGGGCCTTATGAGGGTGTTGACTTTGGCCACATCAATGTCATAGAGTTTCTTCACAGCCTGTTTGATCTGATGCTTGTTGGCCTTGACGTCCACAATGAACACAAGTGTGTTGTTGTCTTCTATCTTCTTCATTGCTGACTCGGTGGTCAGGGGGAATTTGATGATGGCATAGTGGTCAAGCTTGTTCCTCCTGGGCGCGCTCTTCCGGGAGTATTCAGGCTGCCTTCGTAGCCGCAGGGTCTTGGGCCGCCGAAAGGTGGGCGATGTGCGGATCTTCTTCTTTTTGTGGCTGTGGACGCCTTTCAGCACTGCTTTCTTGGCTTTCAAGGCCTTCGCTTTAGCTTCGGCTTTGGGAGGGGCGGGAGCTTCCTTCTTCGCTTTCGGCGCCATCTTGACGAAAAGGGTGGCCTACTCTCGTTCCCATCTTTTAAAAAAATTCTTTAAAAATATTTTTACTCATCATCATAGATTTTGTTTATCAACTTTCCCCTAAATCTTAAAAACTGATTTTTTCCTAAACACAGACACATAGAAATTGCATATATCTGTGGAGCATAATCAGATTTCTCATCATGTGTACAATGGCAAGAAGTGAGTGGCAACCGATCCTAGTGAAAGTCTGCTTTGGCTGTGAAGAGAGCACTTGTCACAAAAGTATGAGGACACACGTAAACGCTGGTTTCCAGCACTCGGGAGGCAGAATAGGGAATCCTTGCAACAGGCTATTTAGCTAGACCAGGAGGCCTGGCAATCTACAGGTTCATCAAGAGATTCTGCCAGCTGAAGACACCCACTGTCTATCTTGTCTTCTGCACACTTGTGGACCTGCACACACATGAGCATGCCTACATATGCAAAAAAAATGAATACAGGCATGTATGGTATCACATGAAATAGATAGATAATCCATGCTTGCCTCTAAACTGCTGGGCAGTGGCCCCCTTCTGTTCCTAACGCAGCTTGTTACTTGAGGTCACAACATCAGATGGCCTGGTATGTGTGAGGGTTTCTGTCCATTGGCTTTGTTCTGGGCAGTGGCGGGGATGGGGGTTGTATCCTTTGCAGACTACAGTTATGGCAAAGAAAGGCATTTAGTCAGGAAAGTGCCTGCTTGCTTGGCGTCTGCACTCTTGTATGACACTGGTAAATGTCAGCCCAGGGAAGCTACCGTTCAGCCGTCTTCCCTGTAGCATACGCAGGTGACATAAGCCCTGATAAACTGAAGGAGAAATGATTTATAGAGCAGCGCCCCGTGCTAGAAGTATCAGGTGCTGATGATTCGAGAAAGGTAGAAACAGAAATAGCCCACCAGCCATATATCTTCGGGGAGAGAGGCACACGATATTTAGTCATCTGTCCTCCCCAAACTCTCTGGGAAGAAAACCATGATCTCATTTCAGATCATCAGTGGAAGATTTTTCCATGTGCTAGGTGACTCAGGCGGTAGAGTTTTGTCCTTTATTTGTGAATCTTGTGATTTGACAAAATTAGCTATGGAGTTTTATCTCTAGCCAAGTTCTCTTTATCGCTGATTTTTAGAGTGTTGGACAGCAAAACTCAAGAGATGCGGTTTATTCCGGGCTTGTGGTTCTGCTGGGGCATGTGTCACTGTTTTACTCTCCGTTGTGTTGCCCACCGACTTGGAGAATTGCTCCTGTAGCTCTTGAGTGAACATTTAAATCCACCCAGGTTCCTTAGGAATCTTTCAGTGAACAACGGATGCAATTCCTAAAGAAATAAGGAGCGACACACGGAAAGGAAACAGGGAATTACGTCATCATGCCCATCAAGCGCCAAATGCGGTTTGGCTGCACTAGCACCTTTGCTCCACCAGGCGGCAGGAGTTACCACATAACAGGAAACTCCGGACTCCTTTCTGGTCTCTAAATTTGGAAAATTTTCTAATACTTTAAGTGATTTTTCCCCCTACCAACATCCATGCTTTGTTAATAATTGATCTTCGGAAGCTAATATCTGTTTCTGTCTGAAGTAATTGGACCCTAAAAGTAAAATACAGTTTGCTGAAAGGGTTCATAATGGGAAACCACTTTAGCTTCCCAACACAAGTGAAAAGCTTTCCGAGTCTGTGTTCCCATAGGAAAATGGTAAGTACATGAGGCCTTTAATTTTCTTTGTGACTCAGTTCATTTAAAAATGGTCATTATGACCCGGAAGCGCATGGAAGCCTGTGTGGCCATGGAAGTCACAGCACCCTTGCATCCCTAGAGGTGACACCAAGTTTGGCCCCCATCCTCATGCACAGCGTTTAATATATTAGCTAAATTTCCATTTTGTCTACAACCTGAGTATAGATTTAAGGTATGAGGCTATTCCTAATTCAGCAAGAATCAGCCCCCAACCGGGACTTCACGTCAGAGAGCTACCTTTAGTGGACGATTTTACAGCTCGAAGCTGCCTCGTGTCCAGTTCCCTTGCTTGCGCCAATCACCTGCCATGTGAGCGGAGTTCTTCCGTGCAGATACGCCACGGTGGTTAAGTGCTGTGGAGAGTTATTTCTAATCAGCCGTTTCTGAGTACCGGCTGGATCCAGTTTGCATAACCCAACAGCTTATCTAGAGAATTTAAAAAAGGGTTTATTTTGCTATTAATGATATATAGTTGTGTATATTGTGTATTCAAGTATCTTCACCTGAGTGCCAGTGCCCACAGAGGTTAGCAACATCAGATCCACTAGAGCTGGAGTCACGGGCAATTGTGAGCCATCCTGTGAGGGGTTCTGGGAACCGAATTCAGGTTGTCTGCAAGAACAGCAATGCTCTTAACCGCTGAACCATTCTCTAGCCCCCAGAACTGTTTTCTAAAGACAAAGTCTCAAGTAGCCTGCGATGGCCTCCATTCACTATGTTCCTAAGAATAACTTTGAACTTCTGATTCACCTGCCTCTACCTCTGAATTGATGGGATTGCAGGTGTGTGTGACTGTACCCAATACACGCTAGGCAAACACTGGTCTACAGCTTCTGCTCTTAGTGTTTTCGTAATCATTGCTAGAGGCTCGGAGAGATGACTCAATGCTTAAGATTGCTTGCTGCTTTCACAGAAGACCTGGGTTCAGTTCCCAGCACCTACCCAGCAGCTAGAAACTGTCTGTGATCCCAGTGCAAGGGGATCCGACGCCTTCTTCTGGCAGCTGAAGGCACCAGGCACTCATGTGGTGCACATACATACCATAGGCAGAATACTTATGTGCATAAAATAAAAAGCTAAATCTTTTAAAAATATTATTAGGATTGGAGTATAGCTTTTTAGCCTCTTTTGTAAACAGGTACAAGGGCATTTTTTTTAAAGGGAGAAATCTGATTCACGTTAACTTTGCACACACATAGGAAGTGACAGTGTGTCCCAGAAACTCTGGGACACCATGGGGGTCCAAGGCTCAGCTTGCCACCTGCTGCTGAACGACTCTGGGCAGGTTCCCTAACTTCTCTGCATCTGCAGTCCTTACATTCCTGAAGGGAAAATGCTAGACCTACACAGAGTGTGTGAGAGTTGATGGCTGAGTGCTCTAATATGTTTAAAACACTGTCTATCTTGTAATAAATGTCCTGCGATTGCTGTCTGTCCTCATGGTCGCAGGAGGCCTTTGAGTCTCTCACATGTGACCTGCACCACATCATCACCTGCCCTTACAGAGACGGACACAAAGGTTTAAGGATCTCAAGAAGGGTTTCGTGTCTGGCACACCGTGGACAGGAGATTGCACAACGGATGCCTGGCAAAGGGCAAACTGATAGTCCTTAGTAGCGCCTGACACGAACGGAGGCTCCACTGCACGCGGAGAGCATGTGGTCTGTGTGCTGAGGATTGCCTTGAGATCGGGCCCCATAGCGCTCTTTGTGAACGACCTGCACTGTCAGCAGTGAGCTTGCCCCGGAACAGGCGCCCTTCCCCTTTCCTTGCCCCAGACAGCGACCAATTCTCTAGCCCATTTGGTCTCTGGTTTACCGGGCAGTCACCGTATAGTCCAGGATTTTTCTCTCAGTGACCATCCCAGGAGACATCAGCTCAGGTTTCCT